CACCCGCCCACCCTACTTTTCTAGGCTCGTTGTCTTCATCCACAGTGGGCTTTGCTCCCTAGTAACTACATATTGTGATAGTGAATTCCATAAATTAATTATGTGTACTGTGAAGCACTTCCTATTGTCCATCCTAAATCTACTGCCTATTAGTTTACCCAGAGTTCCACTATTAAACAAAAAAGATGAAAAAGTCCCAACAATTCATTTCCCTTATACCATACATAATTTTATAAATCTGTCATGACACTGTTTTATAATTTTTTCAGATGGACAACATTGTTGTTTGGTACAATGTCTTGATGATTCTGTAGAATAAATTTAGAGTCCAGTGGCACCTTTAAGACCAACGAAGATTTATTCAAGGTATGAGCTTTCATGTGCAAGGCACACTTTTTCAAATACATTGGAATGGAAGGTAAGGTTCAAACGTATAGACATCAAACGTATAGACAAACATATATATGTCTATATGTCTGAATCTTACCTTCCATTCCAGTGTATTTGAAAAAGTGTGTGTGCACACGAAAGCTCATACCTTGAATAAATCTTCGTTGGTCTTAAAGGTGCCACTGGACTCTAAATTAGTTCTACTGCCTCAGACCAACAAGGCTGACCACCTGGATCTATCTTGATGATTCTGTGTTATGCAGAATCCTGGATATTGATCACAGATTTGTAGAGTGTCTGTCTCTTGCTGTCAGGTACACAGTGAATAATCAGCCTCTGCCAATTGTATGTTAGCATTCCATGTGCCTCGGCGTCTAGTCATGCCAGCCACATGACCATGGAAACGTCTTCGGACAGCGTTGGCTCTTCTGCTTGGAAACGGAGATGAGCACCACAACCCTAGAGTTGGATTCGACTGGCTTTCAAGCAAGGGAAATCATTACCTTTACCTTACACAGTGAATAGTTAGTTGACTTGGTATCTGTACATTTGTTACAGGTGGCCAGTTCTTTTTGCATTTCCAAATATACTGACAATTTCATTTAACTGGTTTGCCTCCTAGGGTACATCCAGACCAGCTATTGGTTGCACAGTTAGCCTCTGCTGATTGTATGTTTGGGCTGTGTCCTCAGTGCCTGGCAACCCTACCTGACATAGGATATATTTAGAGAGCAAACCTAAGTAGGTCTACTTAGAATCCTACTCGGGTCCATTCCATGGGTAGAACCAGCAGAAGAAAATGAGGTCAGTGCTTCATGAGAGATCCAGGCAGCACAAAATGATGTAAAAGGAGTCAGACAAGTAAAGTAATGTATAACATAAGAAGGAACAATAGCATTTGCCTACCTCTGCAGTTGCCAGATCTCTTTCATCACTGCCCCAGAACTAATGAATATCCACACATTTCCAATATATGTGCTTCCTTTTCCTTGAACACATTCTGGAGTTATTTTCTTTATTCTTGAATTTGTGCAATTTCACACATATCCACCATCACAATACAGTAGATGGAATCCAGTTGTTTTGTGGGAGGAACATGGAAGGATGCTTATCCTCCTCCTATGCAGGAGCTGCTCTTTGCACTTTCATTGAATAGAGGCAGATCCATGTGCTGCTGTAGGCACAGAACCAGAGACTAGAGGGCACAGGGCCTTGTTCCATTTTTCTCACACACAGGCAACTTTGTTGTCTCAGGCGTGAACAAAGATCATTCCCCAGCTTTTTGGGAGATAGTTATCAAGAAGAAGAAAAATTCATAATATGCAGATGAGATTACCCAGATCTGGGGATCTTGAGTATGGCACTCTAGGCAAATGTGGTGACGTTGGACAAGGCATTGGCGGTAGCAGTGTGTTGGTGGTCACCCAAGGGCATCTGGAATTCCCCCAAAATGGAGCCATTATCTGTTTTGTTTACTATTTGGAATATGCTTGTCATTTATTCTTACTGGGATATGCAAGAATGATATTATTAATTTAGAATTTTCAGTAATGTAATTTTCATTACAGTTGAGAAAAAGATATAGAATAATCAGTAAAAACATAGAACATTTTAGTTACATTGTTCATTATTTATACAGAAGTTATCACAATGCAATGCAAAGTTATTTAAATGAAAATGACGTGAGAATACTTGTTGAATCATTTTCTGTTTCTTACTTTCCCGTAGACAAACGGGTTGACAACTGGCCCCTGATGCAGTCTCCATTTCCGACACTGGTTATAAGCACCATTTACCTCCTCATTGTCTGGCTCGGCCCCAAATGGATGAAGACAAGGGAGCCTTTCCAGTTGCGATCATTGTTGATTATTTACAACTTTGGAATGGTTCTACTCAACTTCTATATTTTCAAAGAGGTACCATTGTTTTTGTTCTATATAAAGTGACTACATATGATTCAGAATTCCACTTGCATCACATATTAATCATACAATTCTCTTATGTATTCTGAGAAATGATGCATCTTTATATCGGAGTCAAATTGTAGTTGACACTAGTATGTTGCATTTATGTTATATGTTTGTTCTCATAGTGCTAAATATCTTCATTGAAAAAAGGAAAAGGCTATGTTAGCGTAGTTACAGTGATGTGCTTTTAAGACAAAGCAGAAATTATTGTAATGTAACACTAGAATAATTCAAAATGGAATTTAGCTCCATATGTTTTAGGTTCAGTTTTCATTGTATCTAAAGAAATGAGTGGCAAACTATTCTTAACTGTGAACTAGCTCCATATTATCATGCATATAATTTATTATTTAAATTTCCATATAAGGTATAGAATGTCTGCACCTCACACTGAGTGCACAACTGTTACCCAGAAGGCCTTTTTCTGAACACCAGGAACCATTCAGACAGTGTCCTGAGACAACCAACCAACCAAGAACTGTACAGCTGTCTCAGCACTTCTAACTACTGAGCCCCAGGCAAAGCAAGAGAAAGGTGTACTGTAAATTAGCATACCTGTTGAAAGTAATTTAAACAATTCAGGCTTAATCCTGGTTCCCACCAGACACATTCAAGAATGAAACACTTTAATCATTAAGATTGTTCATTGTAGAACAGTAAACTGGAATGCTGAAGCTAAAGTCTTGAGAGTCTTTTGTTTTGATTGCTTTTTGAAACATATTGTTTAATTAAGCGTGGTGAAAATTTGTTTTCCAAGCAGTTTATGTTCACAAACAGTGATCTATCATAAACAATAATTTTCCCATTCACATTTGGTGAATGGCAATTTTATACAATGGATTGGATCCTACAGCTGTCTTCTGCTAAAACCAGAGCTCTCCTAAGGAGCAAGGATCTTTCCACTAATGCATCAAAATAATCTCTTGGGTTAGGCTTTCCTTGTATTTGAGAGAGGGGGAGAGAGAAGAAGGCAGAGGGCTATTCTATGGGAAGACCTGGCCTCCAGAGTTCTGTCTTCCCATAGAAAACAATGACACTTTAAAATATAAAGGGATCAGAGATGTCCACTACCAGCTGAATTGTCTATTGATCATTGGCCCCGGTCACACGGGCAGGAAACTGCAGAGGAGAAGCGTGGCTGTTTGCCCTGGGGCAAACTACTGTGCAGTTACGTGGTCAGACCTCCTGTGGAGGTCCTGTGGAGGTACCGTGGAGGTTTCATGGCAAGGGAGAGGTGCCGATCACAGGACAAGCCGGCGCGCAACGAAGAAGCGCGCGCCGTGGCAAACTGTTTTTTATTTTTGTGTACATGACAAATGCGCATGCTCCGTTGGGTGCGCATGCGCATCCACAGAGACTTGGACAAAAAACCCCACCTTATTTGCAAGGGGACATGGGCGGGCGCCAGATGCCACCGGAAATGCGATCAGACGCCCGCCCTTGCCCCGCAGTTTCCGGAAACTAGTACCTCCAAGGTACTAGTTTTTTGCCACGCAGATTCGGCTGGAAGCCTCGGTTGAGCCACGGGAGTGCTACGTTTCCCAGATGTGCTGGTGAGATCGCGCCCGGAAACTCCGGCTGTTTTCCGTCTCACTTGTGTGGCTTCTGTTACGTGTGACCGCAGCCATTATTTTGTAAAGAGGGTAGATCTGGCCTCCAGAGGCCGCATAGCAGACCTTCCTCTGAAACCACAAGCAGGGCTGATGCTGTCCAGGTAGGTCTGGGGCCAATTCAGTCCCTCCTTTCCTTTTAAGCTTTAAAGGGACATGGTAGTCCCTCTAGAGGCCAGGTCTTCTCATAGAATATAAAAATATTTAAATTTTAAGGCACCAGAGACACTGGCAAACAGCTGCTTACTGAGTCCACCAACCTCTATTCTCACGCCCCACTCCCTGTCAACCCACAACACTCCTGAAATTCCAGGAAATAAATTTTCGTTACTTTCAGAATTTTAGGAGAGTTTGCGGTAATTTTGGGTAACTCAAGCCAACCTGAAACAGCGAATTTCAGATATATTTTCAGTTTGGCAATATTTCAGTGCACACCCCTAGCTGAAGTTTCTGAATTGTCATCAAGGGTAACCCTCTGTATAGCACATTACAATTGTGTAGCCTTAAGGTTACTGTTGTATGGATCAGTGTGGCCAGATTCGTGGGTCCAAGAAGGGTACCTTCCTCTGAGTTAAATGTGACTTATAAAGGGCTTGCTACCTTTTTCTAGTAAAAGATCTGGATCTAAACCACCATTCCTCTCAAGCGCATGACTGAGTCCAATAGGGACAAACTTCCCCCATCAGTACAGCTCCTTCCAAGGCCCCAGTTTTTTCAACCTGCATGTTCTCTATCTTGTCCGGGTTAAGCTTCAGCCCTTTCTCACTTAGCTGTTTGACCACAGCAGACAGAAATTGGCTCAGGATCAAGGTTCCCTCTAAGCTGCGGAGTCTGGTGAGCAAAAATTCTACTTTGTGAGCTGCTGGCATTAAAGTTGTGAGCGAGCGATTTGGCTGCTGCATAACTTAGTTTGCTCTGGAGCCATTCTTCCTGAGCGGAGACAAAAATGTGTGAGCCGGAGGCTAAGAAACTATGAGCTAGCTCACACTAACTCAGCTTAGAGGGAACATTGCTCAGGATAGAGATGGCTCCTTCTAAAGGCTTAGAAATGTATACTTTGAAATGTATAAGTGGGTGTCATCAGCGTATCCAATATCAAAGCTATGGACAATCTCATATAAGGGTCTTATATATTAAATAACATGTGGGATAACACAGAACCCTGCAGCATTCCATAGGACAAGTCCCAGGATGCTGATTTGGAATCTCTAACACAACCTTTTGATTGCAGCTGAATAGAATACAGTGTAGCTACTATAAGCAGAGGAACAGGGCTTTCCCATTATGCCCTGGACCTCATGAATAGGTTGGAAGGTCCTCTAAAATGACATGAGATGAGGTATGGGGGTTAGGCATCAAGAATGGAAAATCAGATAAAATTGGCAAACTTTCCCCCTCTTTTTCCACAATAAGAAAAGCTTTCAACTCATACAAAGGTTCCCTTGGATCCTAGCTTCTGCTTGGACTGGGTATTTCTCTGAAGTATTCTAAATGTAAACTATGTTCATAATTTGAAAGTGTTCCAGTTATATGAGGATGATATACTACTCTTAAATTGATCTCTCATTCTTGGAGATTTAGTTGATATTTTAATTTAAATAAAATAGGTATAGTATCTGTACAGGTATAGTATCTTGTATGTAATATATAGGTATAGTATCTTGTATGTAATAGTGAAGCGATGTAATGTTCTTAAATAGTGATTATAATTTTCAGCACTGCATATCCCCAATAGAAAAAACCAATTGTATTGTCCAATTTACTTACGAGTCCATTCTGTATCGGAAAACTCTTAAATTATATGTGGTCATATACTTGTGAAAGGCCCAGAAAACTGGAACTGATAAACAGTTAAGTCAATAATGGGCAATATAAGTCTTCCTTATATTTGCAGAACTGCAGCTTACTGTATGCTAGAAAGTGATAGCTCTAGGGTTGCTGACACGCCCAAAGAAAAATGTTTTGCCCCTTTAACAGAGGCTTAATGGGATGTTCTTTATCAGTGATGTTATTTACCTCCATGCCAAGAAAAGCTTCAGCGGCCCATTTCCACACATTAAGGCTCTGTTAAAGGGAGGGGATATTTTTTTTCAAGCCCTGTGGCAACTCTAAATAGATCTGTTTTTAAATTAGTATATTTGAGTTGCAGATAAAGGAAATAACCCTACATAATTTTTATGTAGAGAGTAAGATATGGAGTGGCTTCACAAAGGATACTGCTATAACTTTCACACACACTCCTACATTGTCATCTCATTTCTCAAGTTGGGTCTGCTTTGTCAGGCATACTCCAATTTGATTGACCTTACTATAGCTTAGCATGTAGCAACCAGTAGACCATCTTGTTCAAGATCCTGTACACTGCTCCATTCTTGCTAGTGCTAAGAATAACCTGAGTGCCAGAAGCACGGGGAAGACACAGGATTCTGGTGACTTTAAATTAATTAAATTAATGCATGTGAGGATCACCATTTGAAGTGACTGGCCTGGTCTGCAATACCACATGTAGTATAACAGGAGGAGTATGATGGGGCAGGGGGAGTGCAGCATTTAGTAAATACTGATTTACATGCAGTTGCTTTCAGGAATCATAGTTACAGTGTTTGTGGAAGATTAATTTGTGAACTTAATGTTTTCAGTTATTTATGGCATCCAAAGCTCGAGGATACAGCTATATCTGCCAGACTGTGGATTACTCAGATAATGAATACGAAGTCAGGGTGAGTAGTAACTTCTGGTCCTTTGATTGACTGATGAATATACTATGCCAGTAATGGGGGGGGGGACCTCTTCACATATAATGGGTTCACATATAATGTGTTCTTTTTGGGTAAAATTGGTACTTACAATTTCTGTAACAGTTTCAGTCTTTAAAGCATTTTATATCAAGGCTGCCGGATCCCTGCAAGGGTGGGGGATTCCCCGCTCCTGGCTCCTGCCCGCACCTGGAGTGGTAGCAGGAGAAAAATTTTTGAAGGCCTTCAAACCAAATGTGTGACATCACTTCCAGGGGAAACATGGAAGTTACATAATTTCTCTCTAAGGCCCAATCTGCATTTAGCATTTGCTCAGTTGTTTTACCAAACCCACATTCAACTACCCAGGGCCAACACTGTACTGACTGCAGAGTCAACCCCGAATGGCCATAAAACAGCCATAAATCTGTGCAGACAGTTACCATAAAACCAAGAGATCAAAGGAAGTGAAAGCAGCATGCAGTCTGGACACTCCCATAAAATGCCACACTCAATCAAAGTGAAAGTGGCATGCAATGTAGACGGGAATTTCTGTTCCAGTGTGGGTTTGGTATAAAAGCAGAGCAAATGCTAGATGCACACTGGGCCTAAGAATTGCCAGAAACCCCTATGTAGCGTTTCCAGCAATATCTAGAGAGGTGTGACATCATCACTACTGCTACCTCCATGTCCCCACCACCCCTGGTCTCCCACTGCCTGATAATCCTGCTTTGCATACATTTGCTTGTAATCCTTTCAACAACTGTGTAAAGTAGATCGTTATTATTGTACCCACTTTGCAAATAGAGTTTTGAAGCTTATCTAAGGTCATACAGTGAATACTTATCAGACACAAGTAGGGCTGCCAAGCCGTGGCGGGGGATCCACACGTCTTCACAGGATCCCTGCTGCGGGGGACAGCGATACGCGTTGCACTGCCATCGCCAGGATGTGACGCTACGTGTCGCTCTGGCAATGGGGCTGTTTGGAGTCCCGTTGCCAGAGCAATGCGTAGCGTCACATCCTGGCGAAGGCGGTGCAATGTGTATCGCTGTCCCCCGTAGCAGGGATCCTGTGAAGACGTGCGGATCCCCCGCCATAGCTTGGCAGCCCTAGACACAAGATACTAACAGGGACTTGGTAATTGGTAGCTCAATCTCTTAGTTATTATAACGCTGAGTTGGTAATTTGTAACTCAGTCTCTTAGTTATTGTAACACTTCTCGTTTCATCAGTAGCATTATTTAAATATACCTAATTATGTGTGAAAGTACATACACCACAGTACTCAAATTACCTACTGTTGAGAGAGAGAGAGAGAGAGAGAGAGAGAGAGAGAGAGAGAGAGAGACTGATATTTGTTTTTTATGAAGTTATATCTGCTGACACACCACATGAAGTGTGCATTGCATACACATACACCCTAGGCTTAGGGAAAGCTATTTGAATCACCTGTTGTGAGAGGTTTCATATAGAAGGTACCTGCCTGCATTTCATATTAATGAAGCTTGCAAATACCCAAGTTCCTAGCCAAGGGAAAGAAGAAGCATGCCTAGCCATTGTTAGCAGAAACAACAGCTTAAGGACAAGCAGTCCCTCATTACTAGAGGACTTGATGTCACGCAATACACGGATCTGATCTACATCTGAATTGCCATTTCCTGGCAGATGTTGCTTTGATTGCCTGGGAAAGCCGAGATCTATCTGCACATCAAGGAGGGTCCTGACGACAAAACTTCACACCTGACCAGATGGCTTGTCCCTGAGTTAGAGTTTAGAGTTTCAAATATTAGCCAAACCCTTAAACCATCAAGCAGCCTGGTGATCCTAGCACCTGAGGGCAGAACCACCAATGTGGTCTAGAGAGAGGTCCTTCATTAGAGAAAAAAAAGTATGTATGTCTCATTTCATCCTTTACACTACAATCTTCTCCATTAGAATTCCTACAACAAGAAGAAGAAGAGGAAGAGATTGGATTTATACCCCGCCCTTCACTTGGAGTCTCAGAGCAGCTTACAAACTCCTTTCCCTTCCCCTCCCCACAACAGACACCCTGTGAGGTGGGTGGGGCTGAGAGAACTCTGACAGGAACTGCTCTTTCAGGAACAGCTGTGCCAGAGCTTGTGACTGACCCAAGGTCACATCAGCAGGTGCAAGTGGAGGAGTGGAGAATCAAACCCGGTTCTCCCAGATTAGAGTCCACACACTTAACCACTACACCAAAATGAAATATTACATTTCAAACTTCACATCATCAGTATTATAAATGGAACTTAAAAACAGTAGCGAAGCTACCAGGCTACTCTAGAATATGATAACCAGTTCCTAATCTAAGGGCCATACAGGGGGCGCCAACAGGCACCTTAAGAATTGTTGTCAGGAATTTGAATTGAATTAATTTGATAGCAGGAGTAGCCACTTGTACCACAACTGGAGCTGCATATAGAAAGTGATTAGTAATCAGATGGTAAATAATTAGAGTGCTGCTAGAATATACTGCACTCCCATTGTGAAAAAGAATTTTATAATTACTCCAGCCTCCCTTTTGGACTTAACTAGGATAGATTCATAATGCAGTTTCCAGCATAATTTGTAATCACAAATAACCCCAGATATTTATAGGACCAAACTTGTTCAATTAGTAGGTATTTGATACTTCCAAAGGAAATGATTTTATTTTTATTTATATTTGTAGACATTTCATTTTCGGAACAATATTTAAATAATTCCTGCAAGACTCTCTTTAATCTCACCTTTGTTAATGAAATAATTAATCATATCATATATTATTTAAGGTCAGGTGTTGCTTGCTCAGGCAACTTTCACCAAACCAGTGCAGTTTATCTTTTCTATCTGTTGGTTTGGCATTTGTGTTGGTTTGATGGAAATTTGCTGAAGCCTATTTGACTTTGAGGCATTTATTAAGGGTAAAACTACTTTTGTTTGTTTGTTCAACCATACTTGTGGGTTTGGTTCCTGCAAACCAACTTCTTAACATTGGCCCCTGCCACATGGCAGGGGAAAAAGCGGCAAAAAGCGTGGCTTTTAAAAGCCGCACCAAAGTTGACACGGCGCGGCGGGATCCCACGGATCCCCTGGCCGTGCCGCCTCTTCTCCCCGGCACAAGCAGACGCCGGGGAGAAAACACAGTTCGGACGCCGAGTCAGCCGAACTGCGCATGTCCGAGCATGCGCAGTTCAGCTCGGAGCCGGGGACGCGCCGGCACATCCCTGCGCCGGCGATCAGACTCCCGGTTTGCGACGCAGCAGGGAGATGAACCACCTCGGTAGGTGGTTCCTATTAGATCCGAATCATCGAGTGGATGGGCCAGTTCGGGGACGGAAGCACCACGCTTCCTAGATGTTGTGGTGTGATCGCGCTGGTTTGATCCGCCCCCGAACTGTCCCGCTACTGGCCCAAATCCCCTCGTGTGAACGGGACCAAAATTGAGCTCTGGCCAGCAGCTGTTTGTGGGGTGGGTTACAGGGAATATCCCCATCCCCACAACTGTGTGTCCAGTGCCACTGAATGGAGAGGTGTTTGGCACCCTTGCGAAAAGGCATCAGGAAATGGCAACGGAGCTGCCAGAACCTTGGTCCCTTGCAGTCTCAGGGCTACTGAATGCCTTCCAGTCCCTGGTGCTGGCCAGTGATGTGCCCATGCCAAGGTCTGCTTTAGCAGTGCTCAGTGGTGGGATTTTCAGTATGGCCCAGCCCACAAGCTACTGCTGCTCTAAAGACTTGATGCTGAAATCCCCCCCTCTGGAGCGTTGTCTTTCTATGCATGGCCCCAGGGGAAGATCAAGCACCTTCCCATTCAGTTCACTTATGACTGCTATGTTAGTAGATTCAGGTGTGTAGCTGTGTTGGTCTGAAGCAATAGAACAAAGTTTGAGTCCAGTGGCACCTTTAAGACCAACAAAGTTTAATTCTGGGTATAAGCTTTGCATCTTGACTCTAACTTGCCCTTCCTGGAAACTAACTCCCCTCTACCTATATGTAAGGCTTGAGGAAAACAGTTTCAATGTATCTGATGAAGTGTGCATGGACACGAAAGCTTACTGCTACTGGACTCAAACTTTGCTATGTTAGTAGTTGCTCCTTGAGTATTCTCCTCATACCTTCCTCAGTAATATTTTCCCTCAGCTTTAGCATCCTTTCCCCTATTTTAGCTAAGCAATACCCCTAATTATTTCCCAGTGGAATAAAAGTGACTTGGTGGTGGTATTTTCCAGTGGGAAAAAGGCAAGGTTTAAAGAGCTCCTCACCTTGTGCCATTATTTCTTGCAAAATGCAATCCTAGCAGCTGCATTTGGAAAAGAAAAAAAAATGCCATAAGTCACAGAGGACATGTGTGAATCAGGCATGAGTACATCATTAATTTTAAAAGATTTCAAAATAATGTGTAGCAATAGGAAGCTATCATATTTATGAAATAGATGTGTATCCACAATTTTTGTGCATGGTTCACAGCCAGGCATGTTATGGTTTCCAGTCATTTGTGAGAACTTATGGGGGCTGAAGTTTAGATAACATGGGCTCAACGCAATGAGCTCTAATAATTTTTTTAAGGAATGTGGGTAGTGCAGTAAGTTAACAGAACAGGCGACAACTATCAGTGCCTTATTATTGCACTGCTTTATACCAAGGGAGGAACCACTTGTATTTTGCTTCAGGTTGTTTTGATGAAGCTTAACTCTAATTGCCATAACATGACACTAGCGATAAAATCATGGGATTTAGCAACATGTATTCAGTTCCCTCCCTGAACCAAACTAATGACTAGGAGCACCCTTCTCTAGTTAATTCTAGCACATCACACAAAGCAGCAAAATTTCACCTACACTCAAAGATTCTTATCTTCAAGAAGGACAATGGGACTATCAAGTAGTCACTGTTACTGCGCAACTTCTATTCACATAGGATCAAAACGTGTAGTAACTATGCACCAGCAGTAGTACTGGAGACTGCTCATAAATAAATATGA